AAAAACGGTCAAGCATGGAGGGGGCAATATAATGGTGTGGGGTTGTTTTTCTGGTGCTGGAGTTGGCCCACTGCATAGAATTGTTGGTATTATGGATAGATTTATGTATAACGACATATTGCAAAGGGTAATGCTCCCATACGCAGAATATAATATGCCATTGCGGTGGGTCTTTCAACAGGACAACGACCCCAAACACGCTTCGAAAGTGGTCAAATCGTGGTTTGCCGATAATAGAGTTACGGTAATGGAATGGCCACCCCAATCCCCAGATTTAAACCCAATATAGAATATCTGGGATATCCTAAACAAAAAAATTGATCGAGAAAATTGTACAAGTTTAGATGTTTTATTTTGCCGGCTGGAAGATTCCTGGAATTCAATCCCAAAAAGCGTCATTGACAATCTTATAGCGTCAATGCCTTGAAGATGTCAGGCTGTAATCGACAACAACGGATTTGCAACAAAATATTAACTTTATTTGCACTTTACTGAACTCGATTTAATTAGTTGCATATGTTTTGGCCACTTAATAATAAGACTGAATATCCATTTCTAATTTTTTTTTATAAATGAATTGAGTATCTATGGAGTATATGTTTTTTTCTTAAACTACAAGCAATAAAAAATAATATTTAAAAAAATTGCATAATTTTGTTTTCAGAAAAATTTTTCACGGTTTTTGGTAAAGGTTAGATTTCAGTTGCATATGATATGGCCACCACTACATATATATACACTGTACTGAAATCATCAATTGCCAAATTAGAGCACATTTGGTCGACAAATATTAGGAGATCATATTATATGAGGCTATATCTAAATGAGAACAAATATGTACCTTGCGTAACACCAATCATCCTTAGAATAATATAAAAGCCTTTGCAACGTTTGAATTTGGTGACCTCTGTCGTAATTGCAAATGGTGAACGGAGAGGGTCACGGGCATAATTTATTCGACAAAGACTTCTACTCTTTACCATACTTTATGGTGTCCCTAACTTTTGTAAACAGATGATACCTTTTTTATACGCTCCACCATAGTATGGAGGGTATATTAAGTTTGTCATTCCGTTTGTAACACCTCGAAATATACATTTTAGACCCCACAAAGTATATATATTCCTGATCAGCATAAATTTCTATGTCGATCAATGTCCATATCAATGTCCGTCCGTCTGTCCGTCTATCCGCCTGTCCGTCTGTGGAAATCACTCTAGCTTCCGAACGAAATAAAGTAGGTTGATAAAATTTTACTCAAATGTGTACTATGTCTGCAGGACTTTCGGTATTGAAAACGGGCCATGTAGGTCCACGTCTTCGTATAGCCCCCATATAACGGTACCTCCCTATATTCGGTATTTTGATGATTTTAGCGACATTATTTATCGGAATTGTTTCAAATTTGGTATTTGAAGTTTCTAATAGATACTACAGCATAAAACAGAAAATGGGTCATGTAGGTCCACGTCTTCGTATAGCCCCCATGTAACGGTACCCCCGATATTCGGTATTTTCATGATTTTAGCGACATTATTTACCGGAATTGTTTCAAATTTCGCATTTGAAGTTCGTTATGAATACTACAGCCTGTGACAGAAAATTGTGTATGCTGGTCCAGGTCTTCGCACAGCTCCAATTAAAGGCACCTCCTTATATACGATATTTTGATGATTTTACCTACATTATTCATCGTTTATTTCAAGTTTCGAATTTGAATATGGTAATGGCTTATGACAAACATTGCCTAGGTATGTCCACGTCGTATAGACCCCAATATAACGGCTATATTCGGTATTTTTAAAATGTTAACAGAATTTTTTAAGGATTTTATTTTTTAAAAATTTCCAAATTCGTTGCAAATGGTGGAGGGTATTAAAAGTTCGGCCCGGCCGAACTTACTGCTTTTTAACTTGTTACAATTTATTTTGTTCTATTGTTCTACTTATTATTAACTAGAGACACTGCGTAAAGAGATTTAAAGCTACCTTCACATTTTTGTTGCGTTATTTTTTCTCAAAGCTAAAATAGAGTTTGTTCAAAAATGGCACGCGATAAATTTGGATTTGAGGTCAGACAACGAATTGTGACTGCGTATTCTTCTGGATTATCACAGAAATGTATTGCCGAGAAATATAACGTTCATAAAAGCTCCATATCGCGCATCATTCATAATTACAAAAAAATTCAAGTCTCTGTTATACAACGAGGTCGTCGAAGTCGAAAAACAAGCGATCGGACGGACAAATTAATAATCAGAGACGTGAAAAAAGACCAATTTATATCTTCCTCTAAGATAGAGGAAAGTTTTCAGTTGCCATTTTCTGGTCGCACCATTCGTAGAAGACTTTTACAAGCCTCCCTCTGCGCAAGACGTCCTGCAAAAAAACCACTGATTTCAAAGCGAAACCAGAAAAAGCGTTTGGAATTTGCCAAAGCTCATATATATTGGACAGAGAGTAAATGGAGAACTATATTATTTAGTGATGAGTCCAAATTTAACATCATTGGTAGCGATGGCATGTGCTATGTAAGGCGACCAGAAGGAAAACGACTCGAAGCACGTTACTGTAAAAAAACGGTCAAGCATGGAGGGGGCAATATAATGGTGTGGGGGTTGTTTTTCTGGTGCTGGAGTTGGCCCACTGCATAGAATTGTTGGTATTATGGATAGATTTATGTATAACGACATATTGCAAAGGGTAATGCTCCCATACGCAGAATATAATATGCCATTGCGGTGGGTCTTTCAACAGGACAACGACCCCAAACACGCTTCGAAAGTGGTCAAATCGTGGTTTGCCGATAATAGAGTTACGGTAATGGAATGGCCACCCCAATCCCCAGATTTAAACCCAATAGAGAATCTCTGGGAAATCCTAAACAAAAAAATTGATCGAGAAAATTGTACAAGTTTAGATGTTTTATTTTGCCGGCTGGAAGATTCCTGGAATTCAACCCCAAAAAGCGTCATTGACAATCTTATAGCGTCAATGCCTTGAAGATGTCAGGCTGTAATCGACAACAACGGATTTGCAACAAAATATTAACTTTATTTGCACTTTACTGAACTCGATTTAATTAGTTGCATATGTTTTGGCCACTTAATAATAAGACTGAATATCCTTTTCTAATTTTTTTTATAAATGAATTGAATATCTATGGAGTATATGTTTTTTTCTTAAACTACAAGCAATAAAAAATAATATTTAAAAAAATTGCATAATTTTGTTTTCAGAAAAATTTTTCACGGTTTTTGGTAAAGGTTAGATTTCAGTTGCATATGATATGGCCACCACTACATATATATACACTGTACTGAAATCATCAATTGCCAAATTAGAGCACATTTGGTCGACAAATATTAGGAGATCATATTATATGAGGGCTATATCTAAATGAGAACAAATATGTACCTTGCGTAACACCAATCATCCTTAGAATAATATAAAAGCCTTTGCAACGTTTGAAAGTGGCATATTAAATTTGGTGACCTCTGTCGTAATTGCAAATGGTGAACGGAGAGGGTCACGGGCATAATTTATTCGACAAAGACTTCTACTCTTTAACATACTATATGGGGTCCCTAACTTTTGTAAACAGATGATACCTTTTTTATACGCTCCACCATAGTATGGAGGGTATATTAAGTTTGTCATTCCGTTTGTAACACCTCGAAATATACATTTTAGACCACACAAAGTATATATATTCCTGATCAGCATAAAATTCTATGTCGATCAATGTCTATATCAATGTCCGTCCATCTGTCCGTCTATCCGCCTGTCCGTCTGTGGAAATCACTCTAGCTTCCGAACGAAATGAAGTAGGTTGATAAAATTTTACTCAAATGTGTACTATGTCTGCAGGACTTTCGGTATTGAAAACGGGCCATGTAGGTCCACGTCTTCGTATAGCCCCCATATAACGGTACCTCCCGATATGCGGTATTTTGATGATTCTAGCGACATTTTTACCGGAATTGTTTCAAAATCAATATTTAAAGTTCGTAGTAGATGCTACGGCTTAAGACAGAAAATGGGCCATGTACTTCCATGTCTTCGTATAGCCCCCATATAACGGTACCTCCCTAAATTCGGTATTTTGATGATTTTAGCGACATTATTTATCGGAATTGTTTCAAATTTGGTATTTGAAGTTTCTAATAGATACTACAGCATAAAACAGAAAATGGGTCATGTAGGTCCACGTCTTCGTATAGCCCCATGTAACGGTACCCCCGATATTCGGTATTTTCATGATTTTAGCGACATTATTTACCGGAATTGTTTCAAATTTCGCATTTGAAGTTCGTTATGAATACTACAGCCAATGACAGAAAATTGTCTGCTCAGGTCTACGTCTTCGTATAGGCCCCATTTAACGGTACCTCCGATATGCGATATTTTGATCATTTTAGCGACATTATTTACCGGAATTGTTTTAAATTTCGCATTTGAAGTTCGTTATGAATACTACAGCCTTTGACAGAAAATTGTCTATGCAGATCCACGTTTTATAACCACCAAGGTTCCTGCCTATATTCAGTATTTTGATGATTCTAGCTACATTATAAACCGATTTTTTTCGAGTTTCACATTTGAATATTATAATAGCTTGTGACAAAAGTTGCCTATGCAGATCCACGTCGTGATATAGACTATAATATACGGCTACATTAGGTATTTTCAAGATTTTAACAGAATTTTTAATTGATTTTATTTATTTTTTTTTTTTTTTTTTTTTGAAAATTATTAAATTTGTACCGAATGGTGGAGCCTTTTTACTTGTTTGATGGTTAAATTCAATTCATATTGCCAGGATTTCAATTCACATTCTCATTAAAAAATATATATTTCATGCACATATTATTGACCACGACTTCCTCTTACGTCAAATTTGGCATATTTCGGTATCACACTAATTAATGCTTCAAAGAAGATATTTGGACTTACCAATGACACAAGAAATAACAAACAGCTTACTTTTTTTTTAATTTTTTACATTCCTAAAACACTCAATAAATATCAAATTTACATTTTAATAGAACAAATATGATTCCTTACAATACCGTAATACATATATTCTTTACATGATCGGGTGTAATGCACATACATATTAATTTAAATCTCTTCAAATGCATGCATATTTAATATATTTGTAAACAAGCGTATTAGATATAATTGGCATTATCTCGTCACAGAGTTTACGCAGACGTCTTCGAAAGGGCCTCGTCAACAGTGATATGTTGATTGCATTTCGTGCGTTATTGCCTAAATAAGGGAAGCGTATTAAGTATGTTAGCAAAACGACATAAATATGCTCTTATTGTGAAATAGATTCACGAAGTAAACGCGCGGAAGGTAATGTGCATAAACCTTTTTCGAGTATGTCAGCGTCACCCGCTGAAAATCGATGTATTGCCCTGTTCGGAGTTGCTTTTTGATGGCGAGATAAAATACTATTTCGTATGGAAAGATGTGGTGATCCATTGTCAATACACCACAACGATGAACATTTTTGTTTATATTTAATTGTTGGTTCCGACTCGTTTTCATGTAACCGTTGGTACTCCCCGCTCAAAAAATTGTCTTGCTTTGTAGTTAAAAATTGGAACGGATGAATATGTTTCAACTTATTTGCAGATGGTACATGCACAATTGACTGCGACGATGTCTGAGTGTTGTTGCTGGAAGAGCTAGAATTATCATTACTGCGGTGGAGCCATTTTGAGTATTCCAATTTCTCTGAGTCGTTTATCATATAACTAAAATGCATTGGCGCTGGGGAAAGGGATCTATCTACTTGCAGAAGTGCTTCCGTTGAGGGACAACAGCTGCCGAAACTCATATTTAGATTAAAGTCGGCCGTTTGATCGTCATCGTGGTAACTGTCATCGTAACTGATTTTATCGAGTTTTTCCTTTATAGTTCTTAAAGGTGACTTAAATGTTGCCTGCGTTTCTATATTGTCAGTCTTTAAGCCCATTGTTGTACTTAACAAACTAAGTACCATCTGAGGATTGGAAACAACAAATTCTTCCAATTTTCTATAGTCGATAATTTCTACATCAGTTTGACATGCACGAGAAGTTCGCTGTAACTCATTCGGAGAATCGTAAGTGGTGTTTGTACATGTAAGTGTGCATGTGTCTTTATTTCCTCGAACTTGTTCTTCCATTTCACGCCACCAAATTTGTGGAGGATGTGAAGAGCAACGTTGAAGTGGTGATTCCGTATTACTAGTAGACCTACACTCTGAAACCGGGGCATAAGCAGTACTTATATTGGGAATGGAACGAGTTGGAAGAAATTTGCACTTCGTATGTGCTATATTTTTTGGAATAGACATTTCTTGCAATGCTTGCAGCGCATTTCGAACTTCAAAACTTAGTTGTGTCATATCTTGGTGTAAGGTATTAACCTGATAATCCAATCTCTCTAGTGAAAGATTTTTATGGTTATCGTGTTCAATATTATGGGTATCATTATCATTATCATGAAAGTCTTCTTCTAATGAGGTTGTATCAACACTTGATGTCACATTTACCGACCGTTGACGCTCAACCCGTTCTCTGAGCGTTATCAAGGAGCGACCTTTTCTGTAAGACTTTAACAGTCGTGGGCTGTTAACGGTCAACAATGGAGAACGTGCATGTAGAGGTGATGGTGTAGTGATGCTATGATGGGGCGAAACAGTTGTGTCTGTACAGACTTCAATATCAACCTCATCCTCCTTATTTTCAACTTCTGGTTGATTTTCGTCATCTTCACTAATGCTAGGCAATGGAAAAGTAGGCCCAATATCTGAGTCATGACACTCGTAGCCTTCACGCAGATTAAAAGTCAAATCATGTTGAATGTCGTTGGCGAACTGCTGCTGGTATTCTGGATATAATCGCAAGACTTCAACCAAACCACCCATATGCACACATTTTAAATCGCAGTATGTGAGTGCCTGAAAAAAATTGAAACATAAATCCAATAATTATGTTAATACATTTTGTTTTGGCCTCATGATTAACTATATTTTCAGTATATATTTCATATTTCTTCTACAAATTTTGACCTACTTTGCGCTTTAATTTCGAAGTTTTCCGCAATTTGTATTGAAAACTCCTTCGCAGTATAATATTTGGTACCGTTTTGTACAACAGATTATTTTTAACCATTCCCAAATAATTTACGATAAATGCTATTGCAAAATTATAGAAGAGAGTAATAAAATAAAAGTTTAACAACCTGTAAAGTACAACCTGTAAGTTCGATATATGTATAAATAATTGAAAAATCAGATTTGTGTAAAGTATTATGTGAATCTTGTAGAAGTTTTATCTGCATAACATTTTAGAAAATAATGTCCATAAATTAATAAATAATGCACAAATCCTAACAACTGTTGTCACAAATTGTAAAATCTTAATAAATAAATTGAAAATATGAATTTTGTTAATGTGTGTAATAATTTGTGACATAGTAATGTGATATAATATATAATACTAGCTGGCCCGTCCCGCGTTGCCGGCTCGTAGATTTTGTCCTGAATGCACACAACGGGTCTTTCTTCCGAATAATTATAACTCTCATAAAATGCGAATTAAGCATACGATTCTCTTCATACTTCGCACATCCCAAAAAACAAGTTCTGGTACTTCCCAACAACGGGCCTAAAGTATGAATAACCATGATGCTCATAAAGGCAAAGTGAACCAGGGATGAGCATATTGCACTAGATTTTTAGTGCACTAAGGATTAAATTATTAGTAGTAGTGTATTAAAATTTCAGTACCATTAAATGGTTAGTGGTAGAAAAAAAACAAATTGCACTAACACTAACCATCTAGTGGTATTTAACAAAATTGCACTACCACTAAGTATTATATCACCTTTTTGAAGTTTACTGAAGTTAGTTGAGAACAACAATCCTCAAAATATATGTTACATAATTCATAAAAATTGCTTAACCTTGGTATTTTTCATAGCACTGATATAGTGTTTTTATACCCTCCACCATACTATGGAGGGTATATTAATTTTGTCTTTCCGTTTGTAACCCCTCGAAATACTCATGTCAGACCCAACAAAGTATATACATTCTTGATCAGCGTAAAATTCTAAGACGATTTAGCTCTGTCTGTGTGTCTGTCTGTTATAATCACGCTATCTTTCGAACGAATTGGGATAGAAGGCTACAATTTTGCACACATGTATATTTTGTCAGTAGGCAGGTTAAGTTCGTAGGTTCACGTTATCATATAGCCCCCATATAACGGTACCTCCCGGTATTCGGTATTTTGATGATTTTAGCAACATTATTCACCGGAATTGTTTTAAATTTGGTGTTTAAAGTTCGTAATGAATACTACAGCCTAAGGTAGAAAATTGTCTATGCAGGTCCACGTCTTCGTATAGCCCCATATAACGGTACCTCCTGATATTCGGTATTTTGATGATTTTAGCGACATTATTCAATGATTTTTTTTCTAAGTTTCGCATTTGAGTATTGTTATGGCTTAGGAAAAAAATTAGCTATGCAGGTCCATGTCGTCGTATTGACCCTAATATGACGGCTAAATTCGGTATTTCTTAGATTTTAACGGATTTAATTGTTTTTGAGAATTGCCAAATTCGTTCCAAATGGTGGAGGGTATTCAAATTTCAGCAAGGCTGAACTTACAGCTTTTTTACTTGTTTTAAATTCCACTAATTTAGTGGTGGTGCTATTAAAATTTCACTACCGCTCAATTATGGAGGTAGTTTTTTTAGTTACTACTATATTGTTAGTTGTAGTGCAATTTGATTTTTCACTAACACGAACTATTTCGTTGCACTACCACCAAAAACATAGTGCATTATGTCCATCTCTGAAGCGAACAACCGATTATTTTCAACTTTGGAAAATCCTAATATTTCTACCAACACACGATCTAGAGTGTATCAAGGTCGGACCTCGCATTCCCGTGCCTTTCCGACAATGGATCAACATATTGAATAATCATCTACCTTTAAAATGTGTAATAAAAGTCCCATTTTCAATATCTCTGCCCACACAAGATTATGAAGAACGGATAGAACGGATCACTCCTTCTGGTACCTCTCCCACAACGGGTAAAGTTTTTGAATTAAAAAAATATGTGAATCAATATAAGAGAGAGAATAATTGTTAAATTATTTTCTAACTTGAAACATTCGAATATTTTCCCCAGCACAATGTTAAGATGGTGTATATCGAAACACTACGTCTGGCTGGACCTATAAAAGCCTGACATAAAGGTAGCAGATGACAATCCATTTATGGCATATAAGTTAACTGCTGCTATTGAAAAGCAGGCGAAGACACACATCATATTTGGCGATACTACACACTCTACTCACGAATGATTTCATTTCAAGCGGTCCGGTGAAATTTACTTTTATTATTGATCGTCACCATAAATGGGAATCGATTGTACAAATTCTGCAAGTAGTCGAAATCGGCAGGATATGACAATATACAGGGTGAGATGAAAAAACTGCGACCAACTTCAGATTGCTGTCATTTCTAAGCCACTCGTCCGACAGGTATTAAAATTTTTCCAGTGACATCTTATTATATTGTTTACAAGCGCAAAAAAGCATTTTGGTGAGAATTTTCCAAAAAAAAAAAAAATATTCGTTATACAATTCAAGCGTGATAGTGTGATTTTTTTATATTTGGCTGGAAAAGCACAAGTGGCTATCGTTAGAGCACTCCAGCATTTAAATGTGAAAAAATCGTTGGTGTCTCGTACCATCACTCGTTACCGTGATACTGGTAGCGTAGCCCGACGTCAAGGAAGTGGGTGGAAGAAAACAGCAACATCAGCAGAAATGGTTCGAAAACTAAAATAGCGACTTGATCGAAACCCGCGCCTTAGTGGCCGAAAAATGACTCGTGAGCTGAACATATAGCAATATTCCATAGCCGATGGTCGCTCTCCGCTTGTATTAACCGACCGTGGCATTAGAATAAATGCCGAATATTATCGCGAAAATATTCTGGAGGGTGCATTAAAGCCTTGGGCACGCAAACATTTTGGCCACAGACCTTGGACATTCCAACAGGACTCAGCACCATCGCTACCAAAGTGTCGATTACCTCAAGCAAGCGCTTCGCCGGAAATGGGCCAAAATACCGCAGAGCAACATTCGGGCAGAGTTTAACGGTTTAATTGGCTGTTATATAATAGCTGGCTGTTATAAAATTTGATGCTATTTTCGACATATTTTGCGTTTCCATATTTTATAATATTCCTATTAATAAACAAGTTAAAATGAAGTAAGTTTGGCCGGGCCGTACTTTAAATACAATCCACCATTCAAAGGGAATTGAAAAAAAAAACAAGTGAGAGGATCTTTAGGGCTAAACGGATATTATAGACAAGTTAAAAAGCTGTAGGTTCGGCCGGGCCGAACTTTGAATAACCTCCACCATTTGGAAACATTTTGGCAATTCTCAAAAACAATAAAATCCGTTAAAACTTCTGTTTAAATCTTAAAAATACCGAATGTAGCTATTATATTAGGGTCTACACCACGACATGAACCTGCTTCTGTCGTGGGCTGTAGTATTCATTACGAATTTCAAATAACAAATTTGAAAAAATTCTGGTGAAAAATGTCCCTAAAATCGTTAAAATACCGAATATCGGGAGGTACCGTTATGTGGGGGCTTTACGAAGACGTGGACCTGCACAGACAATTTTCTGTGTTAAGCTGTAGTATCCATTATGAACTCAAAATTCCAAGTTTGAAACAATTCCGGTGAAGAAATTCGCTAAAATCAACAAAATACGGAATATCGGGAGGTACAGTTATATGGGGGCTATACCAAAACGTGGACCTACATGGTCCATTTTCAATAACAAAAGTCCCGCATACATAACATACATTTTAGCAAAATTTTATCAATCTATTTCAATTCGTTCGGAAGCTAGAGTGATTTCCACAGACGGATAGACGGACGGACATCGCTAAATCGACATAGAATTTTATGCTGAACAAGGATATATATACTTTGTGGGGTCTAAAATGTGTATTTCGAGGTGTTACAAACGGAATGACCAACTTAATATACCCTTCATACTATGGTGGAGGGTATAAAAATCCGTTGTAAAATACTGGTAAATCATATAAAAACCGAGTTGCCATTATACTATGGAAATGTCGTGTCACCACGGTTCAAAATTGAAGCATTCATTGATCGCCACCATGAATGGGAATTGAGTGTACAAATTCTGCAAGTAGTCGATATCGGCAGGATATGACAATATACGGAGTGAGATGAAAAACCTGCAACCAACTTCAGACTGCTGTCATTTCTAAGACACTCGTCTGACAGGTATTAAAATTATTCCAGTGACAGCTCATTATATTGTTTACAAGCGCAAAAAAGCATTTTGGTGAGAATTTTCCAAAAAAAAAAAAAAAATATTCGTTATACAATTCAAGCGTGATAGTGTGATTTTTTTATATTTGGCTGGAAAAGCAAAAGTGGCTATCGTTAGAGCACTCCAGCATTTAAATGTGAAAAAATCGTTGGTGTCTCGTACCATCACTCGTTACCGTGATACTGGTAGCGTAGCCCGACGTCAAGGACGTGGGTGGAAGAAAACAGCAACATCAGCAGAAATGGTTCGAAAACTAAAATAGCGACTTGATCGAAACCCGCGCCTTAGTGGCCGAAAAATGACTCGTGAGCTGAACATATAGCAATATTCCATAGCCGATGGTCGCTCTCCACTCGTATTACCCGCATTATTACTTGCAGGGTGCATTAAAGCCTTGGGCACGCAAACATTTTGGCCACAGACTTTGGACATTCCAACAGGACTCAGCACCATCGCTACTCATGTGTCGATTTCCTCAAGCAAGCGCTTCGCCGGACATGGGCCACAATACCGCAGAGCAACATTCGGGCAGAGTTTGGCGGTTTCATTG